CCATCTGCTTAATGCTGATTACATTCTGTGAGGGCAGGGTCCACACTGCAATAGCCAATAAAATGTCTGCACCGGTTGAATATGACAGGAATGTTGAAGAGGACTGGGAATTGGTGAGTGGTGGATATGGAGTAAAAGAGGAGCACAAGGTAATGCAACAGAACAGGCAAGGCAATGAGAATTTTGTTATGAAAGTAGGTCACAAGGTGGAAGGAAGGAAAAGTATTTACAAACAGGGAGATATAGAAGAACTGGCACTATAGAAGGCACAGAGGTCAGGCCACGAGAAAGCAAAGCATGGACAGAAGTTATGGGTGGTGGGGGAGATGAGAGAACTCAAATATCAGGAGAGGTCACACAGAAAGCTTTGAGCTTTAAGGATTTAGAACACTGAGGTTTGTGTGTTGCTCTGGAATCTTAAGATGGATCTATGTTTAACAGTTCAGAGAAGTTCAGATAAGCTCTCCTCCAACACCATATTTCAAATGAATCAGTTTTTTTCCTATGAGCTTTCTTTACTGGCCAGCTTTCACATCCACACATAATGATCTAAAATACAAGACTATGGATGATTATGGTCTTGATGTCCAGTGACATATCCATAGTCTTGATATTTCTAATTCCTTTATTGCTGCTCTTTTGAGTCTCAGTCTTCTTCTGATTTCTTGGCTGCAGTCTCCATTTGGATTGATGATTGAACTAAAATTGTATAAAGCTTTCACTATTTCAGTTTCTTCATTGTCAACATTAAAGCTGTGTACTGTAGTTATTTTCTTCAGGTTAAGGTGCAGTTCTGCTTTTGCACTTTCTCCTTTCACTCTCACAGAAAGTCATTTCAAATAATTGCCACTTTATACCAGTAAGATGGTATCATCTGGATATCTTAGATGACTGACATTTCTTCCACCAGTTTTCACTCCTCCTTCATCTTAATCTAGTGTGGCTTTCTATATCATAAGTTCTGCATACAGATTGTACAAATAAAGGGATAAAATGCACCCTCGTCTGTCACTTTTTTCTATAGGGAACCATCCTGCCACTCCATATTCTGTTCATAAAAGTAGTTTTCTTGTCCACAATACAGGTTACACATCAGGATAAACAAATGCTGAAGCACACCAATTTCTTTCAGAACAACCCACAGTTCCTAATGCTCCACACAAAAAAGTTTAGCTGTAGTCTATAGAGCATAGACTGATCTTCTGAATTTTGGGGGTGCACTCCAGTAGCTAGCAGATACTGTACTTGCAATATGATTTCAAGTGCCTCTTCCTTTTTGGAATTCAGCGTGAACATCAAGCATTTCTCTCTCTATAAAGGAAAAGCCTTTGTTGCATACCTTTGGCATCACTTGGCTTGCATCATTATCATTTCCTTTCTTCGCTATTGGAATGTGTATTGAATGTTTGCAGTTTGTGGGACATTTTTTCATTTTCCATATTTGAGGGCATATGCTCGTTTGGATTCTCACAGATTCAGTCTCTGTGGCTTAAAACAGTAGTGTATTCTTTCTACAGATAGTATGTACAATTCATTTCTTCCCAGTGCTCTCACAGAAGCTTTCACTTCACTTTCAAGAACTGAAAGTTCTTCATCCTAGGATTCCTCTCAAAGGAGTCCATTGTCTTTTTATTTCTCCTGTAAAGGTCTTCAGTACACAGTTTCCAATCACTCTTTATCTCTTTCAGATTGTGAGTTTCCCTGTTGATCTTTCAGCATTCCTAATCTAGTCTGAAAATTCTCTTTAATTTTTTTTATCTTTTGGAAGAGATCTATTGTTTTTCCCTTTGTATTGTTATTCTTTATTTCTTTCCATTAGTTACTGTAATAGTTCTCTTTGTCTCTATGTAACAGTCTTTGAAAAGCTGCATTCAAGGTTCTGACCCTATTTCTGTCATCTTTTATGTTTCCTTCTCACGCATCCTTTATAATTTTTTCTTCCATGATCAAAATGGACAGTGATGGGGCCGGATCAAGAGCTGGTAAAAGAAAGCAAAACAAAACATTGGATTTTTAAAGCACAAAGCAGATTTTTGGTTGCAGAAGCAAAGACAAAAAGTATGGATACTGACAACTTCGGGAACAGTTGTGACACAACTCTGTCTCTGAGACCTTTATTATGTTCTGGTTCCTCACAAAGACGCAAGCTGCATCTATCTTCCTCACACTGCCACCAGATGTTTTCTTTTAAACATCAATCAATTCAAGGACACACCATTTAACAAACACATTAAGTTTATTTATCAGGTTGGGGTTAATGATTGGTTGAAAATAACAGAGTCAATCACAGGAAGCAAATCACTTAAACAAGTATGTATTTAACTCCTTCTATTACTTCACTATACTGTATTTTCCAATCTCTGATTTCAATCTACCTCAATCAATCCCTTTTGAACCTCTGATCTCAATCCTTATGTTTGTCCTCTCACTCTACTCTGACTGTCTCACTCCTCCTATCTATCTCACACTCCACCAAAATTTATCTCCACAGAACTCTCTCTGTCCTCCAGACTCCTCCTTTTGTACCCCTCCTTCTCTCCTGCTCCCGCCTTCCGTCCTCCTTATTGGCTCTCCTGCCAAGGTTCCATTGTGACAGGCAGGTGCTGACTGGGGTACCCGCTACAACAGTGTTCCAATTATGCAGGCAAAATGTATGCGTATGTCACGGAGTAAACACTTCCTTGACTCCTCAAGTTTAGTTAAGTCATTTCTTCCAACCTTCTAGCAAGAGTAGCTAAGACAAGCAGCACAAAAACTAAGGCGGTTGAGTTCAGCCGCCCATCATTTAATCTCAGCCACTGAATGGGGATGGGGAAGCAGTTGGGTTTTTGGAATCCTAAGAGATAAACAGATAGGAAATTTTCAAAAGCACAACTATATAAAGAAATGAGGAATATCAGATTAGAGCAGACCATAAGCCTGTCTTATTTTCCACTTCCTTTCAGTCGCCTCCTGAAGTTCTACACACACCCTTTACATTGCTATTTCTGAAGCATACAAACAGTTTATCTCTGAAAGATCTAGACGTAGCAAAGAACTGAGGAGACAGAGAAGCACGGGTATGAAGTCACTCTGTTTCTCAGCTTCCTTCCTGCTCTCCATTTCCTGTGAACAAGTCAGGTTACTCAGCCTGAGTCACAATGTTTTCGAACTACTGTAATCAGTGTGTTCTTAATGATGCAGTCTCTTAACTCAGAATACTTTCTCCGCAAATCCTCAGACTTGTGCAGGAAGACAACATATTTTTGCCCCTAGCTCCTACAGCTGAAGGAAATCACTTAGCATGAGGCAGTGCCTGAGGAGGGGGAAATGACAAACCTAGAAACTGCGCGTAGAAGGGCAGTGGTGCATCTTTAATAGGAAGCCCCCCCTCCACTGAGCTCAGCAGGGCTTTCTTCCAAGTCCATTTTTTTTGTTTGCTGCATGTGTAGGTTGCCTTTCCTCCCACAAGCTCATATATGGGAAATATGATTCGCCTCCATTTTATCCTCAAAACAATTTCCATGAGGAAAATGGACTCAAATCCGAGTTTCCCAGTCAGCACTCTCAAGTCGGGGTCCCACCACCCCTTCCCCTTGGCTATCCTGACTTGGAGCCTCAAGTCCAGAACCCAAAGTCCCCATCCTTTCTCCAACCCTTGCCCCATACTGATCCACATGCAGTAAAACCGTCCCCAAACGGTGCCCCTCTCTCTGTAGTTCCAACCCAGCATCCTCCAGTCCACTTTCGGACAGTTGAGCATTTAGGAAAAGTATGCAGAATGGACAAGCAGGTATTGTCTATCTCTAGAAAAGTGAACATAACATTTCTAGTCGCATCAAGCCCTCAAGGGGACCATGCAGTATCTTCTTAAAAGGGTGTGGCACGTGACAAACCGGAAAAAAAACCCGAAAGCCCTTTACTTTGCGAATCTGATTGTTCTCCAGTGAACTGCACTGTACCAACACTATGTTCTTCCAGGAAATCTTTGCCATCAAGACTCTTTGTCATTCCGATTTAAATTCATCACCCAGGCCCTGATCTCGTCACTATGACTCATAATGGCCAGACCGTGGGATTCCTGCACACAAATACAGAATGTGGCACTACAGCGGGAATGTCCGGGGGCAACTCAAGGAACTTCGCAACCGCAGAAACAAAGAAGCTTTCGGCACCTTGAGGACTGACAGAGTTATTGAGCCACTTATATCTGGTAAATGGCACCTCGACGTAGCCACCTCTCCACGTGCTCGTTTTAGCAAAAGGGGCTGCAGTCGCCGGGCAGGCACGCGATTGGAATGCGGCTTTACCGCCTCTTTATGAAATCCCAACATGGACCTGGCGGCCCTCGCTCTCGAGCCCGCAACCAATCCCGCCAAAGCCGTGGTCAGAGGAGGACGGGGATTAAGCTGTCGAGACACGGAGCCCGCCGCCTAATCTGCATAGCCCCACCCCCTATCTCGTGGCACGTCGTTCAAGCGCCGCCTTAGCTCTGCCCCCTCCACCGGGGCTGAGCTTGGCCTGGTTGGGCCCCTCCCTTTCTGTGACGTAGCCTTGACGGCAATCACCCGGATGATTCGGAGCTGTGTCAGCGGCTGAGGAGGGCGATGTGGCGGCGCTGGTGGCCCAAGCATTAGCGGCCGTGACAGACGCCGAGCGCCGGGACTGGTAAGGACCGCGAGGAATGCGTGTGTGTGTGTCTGGGGGGGCTGTCGCTGCTGTGGTGGTGAAGGGAGGAGGTGCGCGCGAAGACCTTTGGGAGGGCAAGTGGGGCGGAGAGGCTCTAGGGTGCCGGGTGTGCCTTCCCCAGCCCCCCCCAATATTCCTCCCTCGGTGGCGGTGGGGGGAAACACTCCCGCTCCACTCCGTCCCTCCACGCTCGTGCCGATTGGTTCCGAACTGACAACGGGGCAGATTCCGCCCCCCCTCCCGCCGCCTCATGTGAGCCATGGCTGGCTGTGACTGGCTGAGGAGGTGCCACTCATCGAGTAGGGCGGTGGCGGGGCGGGGCCGTCCGGGCCCGACCGGGCTGGTCTCCCCCTCTGCGAGCGAGCGAAGAGGGCTCCTTGCCCGCCCTTTCCCGTGACCGTTAGGCCGGGTGGGAAGAAGGCCGGCGCCTGCCACTTTCTCCTTCGGGTCAGGGCTCTCTACGCCGTTTGGGGTCGACGACGCCGGTTTCTCTCAAGTCACGTCCTATCGCTCGGTGGTGGTTCTCTCTCTTTCGACCGGCGATGCCCCCTCTGGGCTCCGTTAATGGCCAAAGGCTTCCCTGAGGAGGACTTGCCTCAGGGCCCACAGGCTAGCTGCACGTTCCCTCCCTTAGGCTTCTGGTGGGCGGTAAGTGCTGCCTTGGGCTTTGCCCCGTTTCCTACCACCCGGTGCCTGGGCTTGGGCACCTTCTTTGGCTCGCCTCGCGTCTCTCTTTAGCCTCTCAGCCCCCAGCCTGGGCGAGGATCTCCCTTGCCCGTTCCGCCGCCAGTCGGTGATGCCTCAGGGCTGGACCGAGAATAAATTAAGTTGATAATATTTGTAGTAGTGTACAGTACTTGATAATGTTGATTCAAAGTGAAATTCCTGTCTGCTGGTTTATAAGCAGAACAAATAACATCAAGTGGGAAATTTGAAAGGGGGTATCCTTCGAACTAGCCGGAAGTTTATTTTTTGTAGGTAGTACCCAAACGACCTGTAAAATTTTGAAAAGTTGGTTGAAGACATGTACTGCTCTTTAGCTCATATTATTACTGTAGCAAACAATCAGCAGACATTGAACTACCATCTCATTTGGCAGCCATGACATCTCAGTTCCCAGATTGACTGCTCAGTTTATCCTACCCTTGGGTCCAGCTTTCTAGCTATTCAAGATAGCTTTCTCTCCCTAGCAAGCTGTGCAAGAACATCATAGCCACACTCAAAGTTCTGATCCCAGAATGGCCAACCAGATGCAGATGGAAAGTCCATAGGTTGGGCTTTCCAGTAATTAAAATACAGGAACCAGCTCTGATATTGGAGGGTAATACATATAAGTACAGTATTAAATATCATGAATAGTAGCCACTCTTAATCTTATCCTTCACTGATTTTTCTAACCTTATTCTAAAGTAGTTCCAGTTGATGTCCAAAGCTACATCTTTGGTTAGCAAATTCCATAGTTTAACTGTGTGTTACATGAAGAAAATGTTCATTTCTATAGCTGCAGCATGTAAACCCTTAGATGATTTGGAATCCTGTCAGTGTTGAAGGCTGTCTGTATGAGTAGCTCTAGACATTCCTTGGATCATTTACTTACATTATTATGTTTTGGATAATATGTCATTAAACTCTTAGCATCAAAGAAGACCTGATGGGGACAGCCACATTTATTTATTTACATTTTGCCTTGTTTATGTATCAGTGTTGTGTGTGTTCCTAATATTTATAATTGTTAAGGAGTTCAGGAGAGGTGAGGTGACATTCATACTGATGTTTGCCTGCTAACAATGACTAGACTTAATGCTGATGTTTGATGCAGGGGTGTGCAGAGAGAGCCAACAATGATGGCGCATGAGTAGGGGGGCTGAGGGGGGGGAAGGATTTAGCTCTTCTCTCACCTGTACTACCCTTCTATGTCAAACTTATATTTCATTGTCGTGCTCTGCTTTTTCTTTCAATGGGGCAGAGGACACCAGACGTTACTGTTCTCATCAAATGCTACTGAACTGAATATTTATTCTTCCTCATAACTTTTGTGTACATGCTTCTCCACCTCCTCTGTAGCTCCCTCCTGCATTGATTTTTTAGATAAGAAGTTCCTTGGGTCAGGGGTTTGTTCTCTTGTTTATTAGCCTGTAAAGTACCAGATATATGCTTATTATTTTTATATTAAAGAAAAATAAGTATGGCAGCAGCACCTCATTTGTTAATGTTTATGTTTTGCTGTAGAACTTCTTTAGCTGCTACTGTTTTATGTTTGGAAAAATATATTTGGCTGTCAGACGGTTTCTAGGATACAAAATATACTGATGATGTCAGAGTACTGAGTTCCCATGAGTCACTAAAAGTATTCTCAGTGGAGAAATTGACAGGCGTGAGAATAGATTGCTGTGTTCTGAAATGGAGCTGTGAATTAAATGTGATAGATCTTGCAAAAAAAAAAAGTATTTGAAACAAAACCAAAATATTTGGGGCAACGTTTTGGAGAAATACTTCCTCCAAAGGGTCTGTAGATTTGGAAAATTAACTTTCTGGTAGCAGTACTTGCTTTGAGAAGGGAAAATGTTGAGTAAAATCCATAATTGGTGCCATTCACATTGCACATTGTCTTGCAAGGACTAAACGTAGATAGCATGTGTAGCAGCATCTTTTACCTGATTAAATGTTAGGCATACTGAATTATCAAACTATGATGATTTAACAGAAGTTATGGTATTAGTCTTTGCAAGGACATCATCTGAATATGTACTTTGTCTGGTACATGTAGGATTCACAGCCAGAAAAGCACTCCTCACTGAGAGTTCATTTCTGAAACAGAACAATTGAGGGGGGCACAGGACTGTGGTTGCACTTTAGAAAGGATAGTTTTGGTATAGATTTCTCAAAACGGCTTGATAGGTTACAGGCTGAAGGGATAAGAGTAAAACCCTTGATTCCATGTAATGAAGTGGCCTGTGGTCCATGAAGTGTATGCCAAAATAAATTTGTTATTCTTCAAGGTGAGACAACTCTCTGTGTTTTTATTCTTGAACATGCTTCCTCCAAAATTTTAAACATCAAGCAGGGCGTGATCTCCATTGTATTTTCAACCAAAGCCTTGTTTGGTTAGAACAGGATATCCTAGTCCTTGACTTCATGGATAGAACAATATTGTGTATGCTTTCTTGGAAAGTGGAGATGTGGCTGGTTTGGAAAGAGGGAAAATCCAGGCAATACTAGGACAGTTTCTGTTGCTTCTCTAGTTTTACAGAAAACTTGAGGCTGATACCTAAAATGCAGGGCTGGAGATGCTTTTTATCACTGTAAAATATCATAGATGGTCTACTTTCCCCTCCTTCTGGTGGTGCTTTGGGATCATGCAGTGTCCAAAGCTGCGCAGGCTGAATTTTTTCCCCAGGAGACACAGTGAATTGAACTTCTGACCACTAGTTTATTCATTCCTTATTACAAAGCAAAGTATGCTGCTCACATACCTCCCCATAGTGCTTAAAGGGAGGCACCCTTGTTGCGGAACGGTTTGTGCCGTTCGGAGTGCCCCCCTCCGCCAGATGACCGATCGAGAGAAGTTCGGGCCGGCCCCCTATTAGGTGTTCCGGGAATGTCCTCTGATGTGCGCGCGAAGAGGTACCATTTGTTAGAAGATTGTTTGTTACAGGATCCGTTTGATCCCAAGGAATTGAGTTTTGTGAACAATAAACTCTCTAATGTTGGATTGTATGATGAGCCTCCGACTCTTTTTCCCGCCTACACCACTAGTGCCCCCCCGGCCAGAGAAGAACTTCCTTACAACCACTGGCTGCTTTTTTGTTATGTAGAGGTGCGTTCGTACATTGAAGCATTAGTTCCCATAGGAACTAATGCAAAGCTGGTTAATACGTACTCTACCACTAGGGGGAGAACTTTTTTTAACCTAAGATGACCTAAGGTTAAAAAAAGAGCAGGAAAGTTTTTTTTTCCTGTTCTTATCTTGGATTTTTGTTCTCAAGTAGAAGCAAAATTTAGCAAATGGAGCTGTTCTTAAGTGGAATTGTTCTTAAGTAGGGACGTTCTTAAGTAGAGACCCCACTGTATGTAGACTACATAGCCCTCCCTGCTCTCTAGCAAGCTGGATACTCAATTTACTGACCTCTGAGGGGCGTAAGTCAACCTTGAGCCAGCTATGTGAGCCTGTTAGGATTGAACTCTAGTTGAGCAGAGTTTTGACTGCAGTACTGTGGTTTAACCACTGCCGCAAGGCTCTTATAACCTCCAGTGGTTCACTGCTCCTCAATTAAAAAAGAAAGTAGAAAGGTTACACTTAATTTTGCCCTCAGTGTGCTGTTAGGGCTTGAATTAGGATACATTTTCTTTAAAAGTGTAGTCATTTGTAATGCATACCTGGGTGTAACCCAAGAACTGTGCCCAGATTTTCAGTTTGGAAACAATTAGAGCGAAGGGGAGGGAGTAGTCTGACTCACATCTGATGTATACCCTGAGGAAAACGAGATACAGCAGCTCTGAGGACATGTGAACTCAGTCTGAAGTTGCGTCATGAATAAAACACATGCTTTGTTAGCTATGTATACGCTTTGGTGTATGGCAACAACAAGAACAGTTTATATTGATTTGTAAGTTAATGATAGGATGATTTCACTGGATTTACAGTAGTTCTTTTCTCCAATATTACTTTCCCAAGTAAAGAAGCAACAACAGACTTTATAACTTGGATATTAAAGGTAAAGGTTCCCCTTGACAGTTTTTGTCCAGTCGTGTTCGACTCTAGGGGGGCGGTGCTCATCCCCGTTTCCAAGCCATAGAGCCAGCGTTTGTCCGAAGACAATCTTCCGTGGTCACATGGCCAGTGCGACTTAGACACGGAGCACTGTTACCTTCCCACCGAGGTGGTCCCTATTTATCTACTTGCGTTTGCATGCTTTTGAACCGCTAGGTTGGCGGGAGCTGGGACAAGCGATAGGCGCTCACTCCATCGCGTGGATTCGATCTTATGACTGCTTGGTCTTCTGACTTTGCAGCACAGGCTTCTGCGGTTTAGCCCGCAGCGCCACCACGTCCCTAAACTTGGATATTAGGCTGAAGTATATGATAGAGATGGTTGTGTATAAATGCCAAGTTATTAGAAAACTTCCGATTTTTAAAAAAATGGGGTGGAGGGGTACTTTATCTCCCAGAATTCTGCAAGAATTCCCCAGACAGGATTCTGGGAGTTCCAGCCCACAGAGTCACATCTATGGATGCCTATATTTTGCTTACTTGGAGAAGGGCCTAGTTCCAAGGCTGTATGACCTAGCTCTGGCCTAGCATGTTGTTGTTAAAGAAAAAAAGTAATCTGCCACAGTGTTTATCAGTAATTCTTTGGGAGGTATGGAATCTAAAGGGTAGTGATACTATGGATCCCAAGAAATACCCAGCTTCCCTTTTTATACCTAAGACCATGCAGCCTGATTGTTGAGTCATTCTTCAGGAAAGTGAAATATAGGTGTCCATAGTGTGGGTCAGCTGGAACTCCCAAAGTGCTCCCTAGAGAATTATTGGAGAATTTGGGGAGTTGGAGTAAAAAATAAAAGGCACATCCTTATTATTTTCTGCTGACTTCCTACACAGGGGATTAAACGGTTAACAAACTGTTTTGGAAACACCATGTTCATGGT